GGGGGACTCGGGGCTACCTTCCTCCTGGCCGGCCGAGGGAGAGCAGGAGCAGCCCCACCTGCCCGGAGCGGGGCCGAGGAGCAGCCTTGCCGGACGCCCAGAAGTTGCACCGCCGCCCAAAATGCCCCAAGTGGGAAAAAGGCGGAAAAGGAAAATCCTCCGCAACGGAGCTCTGGAACGTCAGAGCTGGAAGGGGGGGGGGGAGAGGGAGAACGAGAGGAACGTCCTAGAGTGGCGCCTCGGAGGACTCCGAGCGAGCCGCCTCTTTGACAGCTGGGCGGAGTCTGGAGAGGCCGGGAGCCTTTCCCTCCCTCCCTCCCTCCCTCCTCCCCCCTCCCTCTCTCCTCCCCGGGATTGGGAAGAGGCTGCCGGGGATCCACGCTCCCTGTTTTCTCCGAGGTTTGGAAGGGACTCGGACGAGGCATCACCTATCCAACACCTGGCAAGGCTGAGATGGCTGTGGAGGATGGGCTGCGTAGTAGGGAGGTGGGCGAGACGGAGGTCCTGCCGAGTCCAAAGAGGCTTCGGTGATGATGGATCCGGGCGTGACTAGGTTGAGGCGGGGGCGCTGCTTCTGCTCTCCTCTCGGGCTCCGCCTCAGCCTTTCAGTCCTGCCCCTTGGCCTCCACTTAATAATAATAATGATGATGATGATGATGATGATGATAATGTTGGAAGGGACCTTGGAGGTCATCTAGTCCAACCCCCTGCTCAGGCAGGAAACCCTATACCATTTCAGACAAATGGCTGTCCAGTTTCTTCTTCAAAACTTCCAGTGTTGGAGCATTCGCCGCTTCTGGAGGCAGGTTGTTCCACTGGTTAATTGTTCTAACTGTCAGGAAGTTTCTCCTTAGTTCTAGGTTGCTTCTCTCCTTAATTAGTTTCCACCCAGTTGCTTCTCGTCCTGCCTTCAGGCGCTTTGGAGAATAGCTTGACTCCCTCTTCTTTGTGGCAGCCCCTGAGATACTGGAACACTGCTATCATGTCCCCCCTCGTCCTTCTCTTCATTAAACTAGACATACCCAATTCCAGCAACCGTTCCTTTAGTCTCCAGTCCCCTAATCTCTTCTCCTCCCCTTCCCAGCTTCCCAGTTGGTACTCCGTTCCTCCGTTGGGCATCCGGGTCCAGGGTTCCTCTGCCCATGCGAAGAGTGCCCTTCAGTGCCCAGGCAGGCCTGCACCATCCCCTGGCCCTTTACATACAGATGGAATTTATGTATGTATTACATAGATACACACTTGGAATACTGCATCCAGTTTTGGTCACCATGATGTAAAAACGATGTTGAACCTGTAGAAAGAGTACAGAGAAGAGCAACAAAGATGATTACGGGACTGGAAGCCAAAACATAAAGAACGGTTGCTGGAATTGGGTATGTCTAGTTTAATGAAGAGAAGGACGAGGGGGGACATGATAGCAGTGTTCCAATATCTCAGCGGCTGCCACAAAGAAGAGGGAGTCAAGCTGTTCTCCAAAACACCTGAAGAAACAATGGATAGAAACTAACCAAAGAGAAAAGCAACCTAGAACTAAGGAGAGAGAAATTTCCTGACAGAACAGTTAATCACTGGAACAACCTGCCTTCAGAAGTTTTGAATGCTCCAACACTGGAAGTGTTTAAGAAGAAACTGGACAGCCATTTGTCTGAAATGACATAAGGTTTCCTGCTTGAGCAGGGGGTTGGACTAGATGACGTTTAAGGTCCGTTCCAACAACAACAACTACTACTACTTATTATTATTATCATTATCATTTCTCTTGAAGAGTTTCCAATTAAACCTTTGGTTTTTCTCCTGCCATATAAACTTAGCTATATCTTCCTGCCATTACTTTAATAGTGCACCCGTTGTCTAGATAGGTATTGTTTAAAACAGAGACATCAGTCTAGGTAATACAGTCATTTTTAATTATAGAAATTCTACCCAACAACAATTGTTATTTTTCCCCATCTTAACACATGGTTCTTTATTTAATTCCACGCCTTATCATAATTATTTTTACTTTTCTCTCATTTCTTTTAAATCGCTTTTTCCCATCAATTCTTTTTGGTCTTCCATTTTCATATTTTGGTCAACTTCTTTGTCCATTTGCCATTGATTTTAAAACCAGCTAATGCCCTAAAACAGACATGTCAAACACAAGGCCGGGGGCCGGATGCGGCCCGCGAAATGGTTTCATGTGGCCCGCGAAGCCATCCTGGAAACAGTGAGGGAACGGCCCCCGCTGCCTTAGCCCTGGCCCAGGCCAGCCGGGAGCCAATGTACAATTTTATGGTGGCCATCTATGCTGAAACGCATTCAGTCTTAGCTCCACAAGGCTGTCTAGAAACAGCGAGGAACCAGGAGAACCTTGAGCAGCAGCCTTGACAAAGTGGGGCTGGGCTTGGTGCCGCGGGTGCTCAAGGGCCAGGCTGGGCATTTGACCTCTGCTGCCCAGGGCTCTGGGCAGCCCACACCACCATCCAGCCCCCCCCTACACGGCCTGAGAGGAACAGTGAGGCTCCTCCAGTGGACCATGCCTTGGCGCTTGCCCCAGTCCCACCCCCTTCTGCCAGAGACCCTCAGACCTGTCCCACTCCTGCCCAGGCCCCCACAGGCACCCTTGACACGAACGATGTAGAGCTGGCCACGCCCACCCAGTAGGCCACACCCACTCCATCCACGCCCACCCAGTAGGCCGCACCCACCCTGGCCGCACCCACCCGCCTCCCGGAGGGCAACCACAATGGTGATGCGGCCCTCAATGAAATTGAGTTTGACACCCCTGCCCTAAAATCTGTTAATTTTTACATTAATATTATGGTTTCTTCCAAAAAGTCTTTTAAAACTATTACTTCCGGGCTTCAATCTGCTGCGCTCCAGGATACATATTCTATGCTTCTACAGGGAGTCCT